GACTTTTCCCCTCCTCACACAGTGTGTGTAAAACCAGCACACAGAAGGGCATCAGAACGAGATACTGCAGAGAGAAGCTGCAGAAGTTCCCACAGCTCCAGCTCGATCCCAGCATTCTTGGGCTGGGACCATGCAGATGCAGGAAGAGAGACAGAGGGCTACAGTGAGAGCCTAGGGCCAAAAATATTTGCTCTCACTAGTACTTGTAATTCATGAGTGCTGAATTCATTCAAATAATTGGCAAGGAAATCTTTGGTGGGGGAGAGGAGCACAAAACATGTTTATCAGACTCTCTTCTTTGTTTGCTTTAGATAGGCATATTGTGAAAAAACAAGGTATCTGGAGATCAAGAATTCACTATAGTTGCCTTAAAATGATAAAAGCTGGCCCAGAATAGCAGCTCCTGAAACACCTTTTGTTCTGATGACTTTTTGGCTTGCCTGAAGTGAATTAGGAAATATCAACCTGTTTCCCTCCCAACATGTTCCTCCCCCACAAAACTGTCTTTTCAAGGCAAAGTTTGGGAGGGGAAACACAGACCCAAAAACCAAAGCCAGGAAGGAGATGGGATGGGGTAGCTAATCTCCCAGTCTAGTCAGAGGTGGTGCTCTTCCCCACCAGCTCTCTACCAGTGACACACACCCCTGGAGCAAGGCTTATCAAGTTTAAAGAGAGACAGCTGGAAAATGCATTACAAGTGAGAGGGCTCGACCAGCCACATTGTACTGATGTCTTTACTAAAGCTGCTATTGACAGAGACGCTCTTGGGAGCACAGGAGATGAAACAAAACTGATGTGAAAAGCAGTATTGTTGTGGGCCCAAGAGAAGGGAGCACCATGAAAAGGGACTATGACTACCCAGAAGTTCAGGGGGAAGATGGGGAGTGGGGAAAGGGTAGTTAAGCCAGCCTCCCTCAGAAAAAAATTATAATCACTGCTCTAAAAGGAAAATCAGTCAGGGCTTTACTCAAGACATTTGTGCTGCCATGATCTGTGCTGTGGAAAAAGAAAACATCTTCTCAAGGCTGTGCAGCTCATTTTTCCTCAAAAATCAAACAATTTCTTAGCAAACATCCCAGCAGGAAAAATGAGAAAATACTTTTAACTATCTCACATTCTTTACTCCCCATTTCCCATCCTGTCCTACAGTCAAAAAAAATAATCAAAGAAATCACTTCATAGTTGGTAAATATAAAATACAGATAGCTCTGCAGCTCAAATCTGTCATGTCAAGCGTTGCCAGCAGCAGATATTTATGATAGTTATAAATTCTTACTTTAGAAGGGTTTCTATTTATTGCTCTAACAAACAACCGTAACGATGCTACCAGGCACCGTTATAATTAGAAAACACTAGAGGTCAGTCATCCTTTCTGCTGTGCGTTTCAGCATGATTACAAACAACAGCTGGATGTTAACAGCAAGGCAGGGATGAAAGGGAGTTATTTACATACTCAAGCACAAGGATGTCACTACTAGACCTGAATAGTCAAGCAATCAAATCCCTAAGAGGGCCTGTCCTTGGCAGTTTGGGATAGGACTGAAAAACATTCTTCATGCACCTTCACAATCAAAGAAAAAGAAGCAACCAAAGCAAACGAGTAGTTCTCATCTATCCACTATGTTGAGTTTAAAAGCTATGCTTGTTTAAATGTAAAGATGTGGTCTTTGGTATCACATGTGACTTGATCTTGCCACATGCCACAGGAGAGATGGGTATGCCAACTGCACAGTATATTGCTTTACCTCTCGCAGAGAGAGTGACCTACCTGCAAAAAGAAAAATTTCTGCTGCTTCAGTATGATACTTTAAAAGTCTTCCACTACAGCTCCAAATAAGCTCAAGCCTGCGTAGCTCATGAAGTATGACATACAGACAGCACAAGATGGCAGATTCTAGGCAGCCACCTCTGCAGCCAGGAAACATCCAGTTCTCTTAGCTTCAAGGGATTTGCTCATTTAAGCATCCCCAGAGACGAGGCAGTCCTAATGTGGCTCTGGCACAGTCAGACATTCCTAAGGAGGATGGTGGCAGGTCTCCCTCCCACACATGCTGCTTTTCTTTCACCATGCCAGCTTCTTGGACATTCAAGGCTGAGTTCTTCTGCTCTGATCTTGCCTATCCCATGGAGTTAACATAAAGGGCTGCAATCAACTTCAGACAGAGAAAAACTGTAATAAACCAGCAAGTTTCTTTTTCTAATTGGCAGCATGTATATTATACCAATAACTTCACCAGCAGATGATCTTTTCCATCTGATGGTTGTTGCCTGCAGGATTAAATCTCCACAGACTTTGCCTGACCAAATGAAAAGGAAAAATCATGCCCCAATAAAGTCATCGCAGTAACACACAGTGCTTACATGCATAAGGAGAAAGGTTTGTTGTCGTCTTCCAATTTGCCTCCTACTGATGTGAGATTACGTTTTTCTATGGGGAAGCAAAGCAAAGCAAAGCAGATTTAAAGTCATTTTGGTTCACCCAGGCTGACTTTAGAAACAGGGCCTGTCATTCTGCTAAAAAGCACACTACAGGGTTGCAGAATTAACAATGGGGTCAAAGCATTGGCTCTGTGAAAACTCCAGGCTTTAGACAGCTAATTAAGACTGAATGCATCTAACTCCAGACTGGCAGGGCACCAACAAGAGAGGCAATCCCCAGGCCTGTGTGGGGATACTCTGTGGTGTATAGGGCTGGGTTTTTCTGGGGATTCTCTCATTAGAAATTAGAACTAGAATTCTTCCCAGATATGTATCAGCAGGGACCCAATTCTAAAAACGTATGTCCACTGCATTTTCAGATTTCACCAGCTGCTTCTGACTGGCTTCCTGCATTCTCCCTATTGGGACTACCCTGACCCTTCTCAACACTAATGGATTATCTAGTTCCTTCCTGAAGAACTGTGCCAAGATCCAGAGTCTATCCAGTCAGTCAAACCTCCCTGCCTCCATAAACTTGTGCTGTGCCAGATGTCACAATACAGCTAGGACTAAATACACCCTTAGCCAGCCCCCTATCCCCCAAGTACTACATGTGTTTTGTTACAGCAGGAAGGCAGCACGGGACCTATGGCTCCTCAGATCTGGCAGTACCCATGTGGATTGTAATTCAATCCCACTGAGGCCAAAAGCAGCTTTGCCACCATGTTGCCACTGACTCCGTAGGAGCAGAGATGGATTCTAAAATCACCTCGGGCCAAAGTAACTTTCACTGCAGCGTTTTATCAAAGAGTTCCTCTTTCAGCCTCTCAAAGGTTATGAAAACTCACTTCGCAACTGAAGCCAAAGAGAATTTTTCCACTGGAATCGAAGTGCATGACTTTTACTTCAACCATAATCAGGTCCAGTCTCCAGTGGACCAATGTACCAGGTAGATAGCACGCAAGCCAAGATACAATACCTGTGGCCTGCTAAAAGAAAACATTATGATTTCACATCCACAATACTGAAGAACAACTTGGTTATGCAGCCAACATTCTATTGCTCAACACATCAGTTACTCTGACCAAATCACTTTCTTCTCTGCCTTGATTTCCCCAAATACAACATGAGGGATAGCAGCAATCACCCTAAGTAAAGTCCTTTCTGACCTACAGATGAAAACTAGCATAGGAGCGCAGTGTGGTGATTGCTAAGGGTACACAATGCCATTGTAAACACAGAAATTGCACTGTAGAAGACAGGTATCTTGTCACAGAGAAAACCCATATTGCAATCAGCAACATCAATTGTTATTAGGAATTCAGTATGAGAAGCGAGCACAACAGTAGTACCAGTCACTTCTTGAAAGCCTGATGAGAATCAGCTGAAGAACTAACAGTAGTTCCCCACAGAGCTCTTCCTAGACATGAAGGTTACTTCAGGAACAAGTTCTTAGCTAAAGAAAACAAAACAGTGATCACATGGTGTGTTAGTGCATCTTTTAGAAAGGCAGAATGCCTTTGGTCTTCAGATCCTTTTGCTCTAAAACCAGAATCACTACTTAATGACACTTTTTTTCTTCTTGAATATGGGAACATACGGGCTCCTGAGTGATGGTGGCTTTTTGCCTCATGCAGGCTGTGCAGAAGGCCTGATGGACTGCATAGTTCTCCCAAGTGGGAAACAGTACAATGCAGCCTTCATTATCTGGCTTACGGGTAAGAATCACAAAGTAAATTCTTCAGTCTTTCATAATACCATGTCACATATGTAACCCATGATGCATTAGATAACACAACCATCAAACTGAGCGTATGTGGGAAACTAACAATTTATTCCTCGAGTTTAACCCTTGACTGTCAAGCCAGAGCAGTGCACCAGGAGAGACAGAAGTTTGTGCCTTCTGAAAAACACTTGTGGGTGCACCAGTTTACCACTCACTTTGCTAGTGCTTGCTGTAACACGCCTATGAATGTGAGCTTAACCATACCCTCTGGCTATACCTAAACTGGGGTAACATAGCACTAAAGAAAAGTATTTGCCAATTTTAATAGATGTAACTCAGACACAGGTTTAGACAATTCCAAAGAAGTTCTATAAAACTTGTTTCTCCTTAACCTTACAGTGAGTCTGTAAAAAAGCAAACATTACATACAGGCACCGTAGTCTTAACTTTAGGTAGGTCTACACAGCCTTGGCACAGCTAAATCCCACAGGTGACGTTTTGGCACTTAGCCCAAGTCTTGACACCAAACTCCAGGAGTGCCAGGGACACAGACCAACATGCCCTCATATCGAACACTCACAGCCCACACATCCCATGCTACAATCTGAAAGCGACCTGATTTCCCGGGTTTGCGTGCGCAACTACCCCAGGATAAAGCACAGCACTCCCCCAAATGCTCCGCTTGGGAAACGTGCAAGTTTGGGAGAGCAAAAATAAGGACCCTGCCTCACACATCATGTTTGGCACCAGGGGCGCTGGGGGAAGGCACCCGGAGGGACGGGGGAAACAACGTCACTGTTGCTGCAAAGAGGCACTGAAGGGTGAATAAACGTTTTTAAATGCGACTGTCACTTACTTATCCAGGACGAAGTAGAGATCAAAGGCACCGTGACAGGAGCGCTGCTCTTCTTGCTCTTCCTCCTCCTCTGGCCGGGCGCAGGAGGTCAGGCTCCCCAGTGCCAGCAAGAAGCAGCACAAAACCGCTGCTTTCTCCACGCTGCTCCTGCAACTCGCCATCTTTTCCCTTTCTTAATTCTTCCTCCTCCCCCAGTCTCTCTCTCTCGCTGCAGACCTTACGGGCTCTTCGGAAGCACCGAGAAAAGAGGGGAGGGGGAAAAAAAAAAAAAAAATCACTGACTATATGACTATATTCCAGTTTTCCGACATGCTCAATGTTCAGAGTATTTGAGGGCTGGAAGAGAGCACACCAAATCCGGGATCAAGTACCCCTGTGCCACTGCCAAGCCAGAGTATTGCTGTTGTTTTAGATACTGCCCTTGCTGCCACAGGAATACTCTCTCCAGCGTCGTCCCGCACGGAGAGAAGCAGCTCCTCTCTCCAGGGCCAGAGGCAGGAAGGGGCAGAGGGAGGGGAGCGGGGGGAGGAAGACAGGATCTTATGGGGGAAAGCTGAACTAGGACTTTCCTGTTCCGGGATACCGAGGTGGGAAAGGCTGCCGCACGGAGAGAAGCAGCTCCTCTCTCCAGGGCCAGAGGCAGGAAGGGGCAGAGGGAGGGGAGCGGGGGGAGGAAGACAGGATCTTATGGGGGAAAGCTGAACTAGGACTTTCCTGTTCCGGGATACCGAGGTGGGAAAGGCTGCTGCGAGCGGAGGACCGAGGGCAGAGACCGCTGCGCCCCAGTCCCGCCGCCCCCCGCGGGCACAGGGCGGGC